GAAACTCATAAATTTTTTTATGCGATTAACGTTATTCATTTCTATGTTACATATTCAACTTAGCTAAACTTAATTAAAGAAGCCATTTTTAGTTAAGTATATATTATAACATTTCATTATTTCATCGGTTTAACAATCATGGATGTGATTTGATTAAGTCTTTTTTCTCGTTTTTTTTTTCTCTCTTTTATAATTATAAAATTGAAAGGAAAGTTGTCAAATAAAATTTGCAACTTTTAAAAGTAATTTTAAGAAAAGATTTCAGAAAGAAAATTAAATTATTATTATAATATGCAAGCAGAAAAAAAACACACACTTACTTATTATTTATTTGTTTTTCACGATAATAAAAATAATAATAATAATAATAAAACAAAATTTTGCTTAAAAAATATTTCGAATTGAAATTTTAAATAAAAAATGTCGTAAAAATTGAATTTACTAACAGAAATATTATTTAATGTTAATTTTATAACAATTTGATTTAAAAAAAAAATGTGATAGATTTAATTTAAATTTTATTTTATAATTTTATTTAAAAAATTTTTTTTATAACTCATTTTCTAAAATTCGTTCGAAACCATATGATTAAAAACTTCAAATCAATGCTTTTATTTACAAAATGATTGGAAAAAGAAATGAATTATATTAAAAATCATTAAAATCATTGCAATATAATATTTGGTTTCATAACAATTTTGCTTAATTAAAAAACTAAATGGAATTATCGCTGAAAAAAAAAAATTTGATTTTGAATTTTCCTTTAAACAACGCTTAATTTTATTTTAGTTCGGAAGACAAAAAAAGTTTTCGATGGATTTTTTTTTGCAAAATTAAACAAAAATTAAATTTCATTTTGAAATTCATCACTTTTAATAATTGCTTCAAAGACATATAAAGTTATTTCATATTGTTTGTATGTCAAAATTTTTATGTAAAAATAAATTTGTACAAATTCGTCATTTAAATTAAACAATTTTTTGTTTTGTTAAAAAAGTCCAAATTTTCTTTTCAGCAACCTTTTTCCGGCCTCGGTTTTCCGTTTTGCGTTTTCCGTTTTTCATCTGAATATCTTTTTTTTGAAATAACATTAATTTTTCTTAAAATTCATGAATTAATTCAATAGAGAAACAACATTAATCCACTAATTTAACGTCTCATAGCAATTTATTTAACATTTGAAAAAATTAATTCCATAGAATTTTGAAATTTATTCAAAAATCAAAATTTATTTTTAATGAAAAAATAATTTTATGTAAAAAAAAAGAAAAAAAAATTTGACATTTTTTTTTTCTTCGATAATTAATTTTTAATTTCTAATTTTTTGAAAAAGTCATTTTATTGCCTTTTATCTTTTACTTTTCGATATGTCAAACAATGCAACAAATATTTGCTTAACAAATCAACAAATGCGATTACATGGGAATGAAGTGGAGAAATACCTGCAACGATTCCTGTATCCGTGTATCGTAATACTTGGTATTACAGGAAATGTACTAAATCTTACTGTATTGCTTAATCGTTCAATGCGAAGCAGGTTATGCATTTGTTTTTGTTTTTTAACAAAATTTTTTAAAAATTTTATTTTTAAAATGAAACTTTTAACAATTTGTAGAATGTACAATGATGGAAACGATTTGATAATTAATTAATTAACCTGTGATATGATGCAAATTTTTGATTAATTGGTTAATTGGAATACATGAGATTTAATAATATTTTGTTTTGATTAATAAGTAATATTTGTAAAATAGGTAGCTATTACGTGCAAAAATTGATTGATAATCAGGGGTTAAAGTTCAAGACAAGGATGAGTGCACATGAAAACAAATAAATTAATGTTAGATAAAAATGAAAAATTACAAGAAATAGTTTAATGTTGTTTTTTTCTTCTTTATTCATTTCTGAAAAATATTAAAATTAAGGATTTTTTTTTCAAAATACAATTTCAAATTATGCCAAATAATTTTTGGTATCATTTCAGGTCAAATATTTTTTTGGCAGCATTAGCAATAGCTGATATAATATTCCTATTACTTCTTTTACCTAATGTTTTGGCTACTTATCCGATATTCACTTATAATTATACATATCGTTACATTTATTTTCATATTAAAATTCATTTATTATCCTTAACTAATTGGGTTTCCAGTGCTGCTATTTGGTTTGTTATTTAATTATTCTAGTTTTTTGAAAAAAAAAAAAAACCGAATAATTTGCAAAATAATAAATGATTGAACAAAGATTAATTAATGATGAGAAATTTGCCAGAAAATTTTGTCTTACCTTCCTTAGTAATTTTTGATAATTATTGAAATTTGAAATTAAAATTAATTTAATTTTCAGGTTAGTGGTAGCTGTATGTGCGGATCGTTTAATTGGTATTAGAAGACCATTGCATGCTAAAACTAATTACAACAAACATCGTATACCATTGTTAATTGCTGTAATTGTAACAATTACTGGAATTGTCAACTTTTATCAGCATTTTCAATACAAATGCTTCATGCGGAATTACTGTAATCGAACACAAATTTACTCCAGATGTATTCTAATTAATAATGATGGGTTTGTTTAAAATTATTGTTGAAAATTTATTGTCAAAGATTCAATTCCATTTATTTTTACAATTTATTTCTGTAAATATTTTACGCAATATTGTGCTCAATTCTTGTCATTATTTCAATTTGCATGTGACAAAAAAAAACTTTTGAAGAATTTAAAATATCATTTAATTTACTTTTGATTGTTAATATAAAAATTTAGCACAAATACTATATGCCATTGATTTTTGCTCAAAATTGATGATAATAATTAATTATTTAAAAAATATATTTTTGTATTAAACGATAAATATTAAAGGATTATATCAAAAAAAAAAAAAAAAACGTGGAATAGTTTTTAGTTTTTAGTTATAATATTTTACCATAAAATTTGCATTTTAATTAATTGAATTCAATTTCGATTCAGTCAGAATTTTTTTTAATTTCAGGCGTTGGTTTCGAAATCGAACAAATCCTTATTCCGTATCATATCGTAATTTCATTGATATTGGTGTTACAGTAAATGCTATTACAACAATTATTTTGCCCATAATTTTATTATCCTTTTTTAACTTTCTATTACTTTGCATATTACGCAATCGTCGTGATTTATTACTCGTTTCTACCAATCAACAAAGGTAATCACATTTTTTAATTCAATTATAGTGATGTCATTACCGTACCTATAGTTAAACATATCAGTCTGGTTACGATATAATACTAGAAAAAAAGTAAAAAGTTCAAACTTTCCGGAGAACTATGAAATTTTGCAGTAGTATTTAATGTTCAAAATCATTTATTTATAACTGATAAAATTGTGTCAATGAAATTAAATTTAAAAAATGAAATCAGATATCAAATGAGTCATCAGAAAAAGATATGCATACCAAACAGATAGTTCAATATATTTACTGATTGTAATAGTTTTAAATTTAAGAAATTTTATTTTTTAAATTTTTTTGAAATGTTTCAAGCTAAATGGCAAATTATGCGTCCGAGCAAATTTAAGTTTGAGTAAAGAATTTACAAATTTGAATACATATTTGTTTTAGTTTGCCAAAGAAGAAACGTAGCTTACAGTATCTGAAGATGGAGCATCGTGTCACATTAATGGTTACATTAATTGTTACAACATTTATTATCTTGAATGGTCCATCAGCGGTCATACATTTGGTCAATTTAGCTCGTAAAAAGAAACTTAATTATAATTTTACACTTCTTGGAAAGTTTGTTTTTCAATTGATTGCACTTTTTTTGCTTTATTTTTTTCTCTAAAAATTTTAATGAAAAAAAAAAGATATTTCTAATAATTATTTTCAAAAAAAGAAAAAGAAAAAGAAAAACGCATGAAATTTCAAAAAATTTTTTTAACAATTTCAAAAATTCTATGAATTTTATGGAAATATTTAAAATTTGTCGCTTTCTCGTTTTTTTTTTAGTTGAAGCCTAATAATTACCTTGTCAATAACATATGTCACATTATAGTAAATGTGACATTATCAGATCATATAAAGCATTAAATAAACACAGCATTGTAAAAGAAAAAAAAAAGCAGTTAATGATAGATTTATTTTTTTTAAATTAATAAAGTTAATTAAAAGTTTAAGAAAAAAAAATCGAAAAATATTTATTTATTTTTTTTCAGTACATTGGTAATAATTGATAAAGCATGCAATTTTATTGTATTTTGCTTAACAAGCCAACATTTTCGTGCACGCTTATTTCAATTAACTCAACGAAAAGTTAATCGATTCTCTGTAAATTTATTACAAATTGGTTATAATATGCGACATGTTGGGAGTATGTAAGTTTTAAAAATGTAAATTGGAAATTTTTTAAAAAACTCTAAACGATTTATTTGATAAATACGACGATTCATTATGGAATATTATGATAATTGATTATTTATTGCGCATATATGCAGAATGGATGGATTTAATTGATAATTCATCAAGCAAAATTAATTAGATTAATCATTAGTCACAATTTGAATTATTGTTTAAATGTCTAAAGAATATTATTTATACATATTGCAAATGAAATTTTATAATCATTTCTTTAGCAAAAAATATTAAATGTCTGATAATTACAGGTAAGTATCATTATGCCAATCAAAAAAAAGAAAAATGATAACAAATACAAATATAAATTGAATAAATCAAATTTAATTAGTAGGTAATAAATTATGGTGGCGAAATACAGCAATAAAAAACCGGAAGTCGGTAAAGTAAAAAAAGAATTACATATAAATTGTTTTCATTGTTTGATTGAAATGATATTTGAAAAATTTAAACAAAAAAAAAATGATCAGTAATGTCAAGTTTAAGCCATGAAATAATTAGCAATATTTTGAAGATTTAATCAAATTTTACAAATTTCTCAGAAATAGTATTTTTACTTTTAATTGCCTCAAATTTTGTTTACAATTTCAGACCTCAATAATAATAGCTCCCAATTGAAACGATCGCTAAAATTGGTTCGAAAAAAAATACCATACCATTAATTAGCAATTAATTAAGGCGAAATTATTTGACCAAAAAAATTCGATCAACTATTTATTATCATTTCTTCTATTTTGTCCTTTTCTTTTGAAATTTCATTACAGTTTTTTTGCTATATTAAATTACATGAAAATACCATGCAACAAATCATTTCACGATATTATTTTATAAGCAAAATTCAAA